TTTTCTATAATGCCTGCTACAAGACGTTATCCATTATTAGTGAATGTGCATTGTTCATGGTTCATAGACAGACTTGAAAGCCAGATCAGTGATTATTGCAAAAAAAAGCAGGTTAAACTATTTTGATAAAATAATGAAATTATTAGTGGGTCTTATGGTTGTGGAAGGCTTATATTTAGCCTAGGTATAATTTCACAAGCCCTGAATTCATTAGATTATTGCTGACTGTTTGAAATGCAGTGTATTTGACCTTTACGTAAAAATGTATGCACACATGACTGTAAGTCGCTTTGGATAAAAGCGTCTGCTAAATGGCATATTATTATTATATTATTATTAATTGTACAACAAAGCTTATCTAAAGAAAAATCTAGATATATATCGTGAATTGCCCTTAAGTTTAAAAATATTTGAGGTTAGTTTTTGGCTACGGTGCCCAGCCCTACTTAAAATATGGAAATTATGTAACTAGTACTGTACATAAATGTAGATATAGAGTTTCAACTGGAGAACAAAAAACTAACATGCTGACTACACCGGCCTCACTCGTGTGTATGTTGATTTTGTCCATCCACACCAGATGTGATTATGACGTGCAGATGAAAATATCAAAACCAACCGTGAATTGAATCAACTATATTAATTTGGGGGCATGTCAAACACACATTAAACATTCATGGACATTTAGCTGGCTTGCTATTGCTAGCTAATTTGTCCTGGGAAATTAACATTGGGTTGTTATTTGACCAGAAATGTCTTTTTTTTCCTTTTCTTTTTTTACTGGAAAACACCACAATTCAAGTGTTATACACCGTCACGAAGAAATTAATTATTATTTCGTTATGGCATGTTTTTAGAAATATTAAAACTAATAATTTCTATTTCAAAAGAACAGAATATCATATTTTAAGTTTTGTTATTACATTTACATTTTAGTCATTTAGCAGACGCTCTTATCCAGAGCAACTTACAGTTAGTGCATAATTTTTTTTTTTTCATACCCCCTGTGGGAATCAAACCCACAACCCTGGCGTTGCAAACGCCATGCTCTATCAACTGAGCTACAGTTATGTTACTAGTCTGTGCTTTGTAGCATATGGCTATGCTGCTGAAAGTGCTCACATGTAGAAGCATGGAATAGCGGCTGTAATATATCAAATGAAATAGAGCCCATGCCTTAATTTTGAATGTTATATTGTTTTTGTACATCTCTGATGTTCCATCTGTTCCCCGGGTCATTTCATGTTTTCATTTGTGTCTGAGTTATTGGCGTTCAAGTAGGCAGAAATCCGGCCAGTATGACGTAGCACCATGATAGTCGCTCGCACTACACTGGAACTTAATAGGAATACGACTTTTAGATCGACGAAAACATTTATCATAGATGTCAGATTTCAGTACTGGCCAATGTCATAACTCGGGAGGATGTCTTCCCTCGAATGAGCCTTTGATCATATTTCTGCGACATTCTTACCTCAAGAAATGTGTAATTTAATATGTCTTTAGCACATTTTTTGCATTTGTTTGCTTCTTTAGTCCAGGGTGCGTTGCATGGTGCCGTTGCCAGAGAGACATTATAGAAAGGAGATTGGAATCCAATGAAGGAACGTATAACACCCCACCCAGTAGACTGTCGACCAATTGCGTTCACGTTGTCATGCTGCGTCACGCAGTTGCTAAGCTAATCGTCACGCAGTCCCTTCTCAAAGTCAGTGTATATGTTGAGAAACGTGCCTATTTTTCCTCGAAAGTACGTAATTTCACGATTTCAAAGCTATACGATACTACAGATAGCAAGGTAATTATCTCGGAAAAGGTTTGTAATGTTGTACTTCTTGTTGCCAAAATTCGTGCTAATGTTAGGTTTTTGAGCTAGCGCCCAATAGAATCGCCCAGAATGCACCGCGTGGCCCATTGACGTAGCATGGGCAACGTTTCCCATCTCCTCAAAAGTATATCTGCCGTTGTGAATGTTAGACTCCACTCTGTGAGGCATGTCAATCTGCTGGTTGAACATGGTGAGATTGTAGACTCCTAAATTGATAGTGCGGTTTTAGGCGATTTTACAGCTAACTAGCTACGTTACATGCTGATATTGTCTTTGGTATTATTGTGTGTAGCCAGCCAGCCCATAGAGAGAGCATTGCATTGTGGATTTTGTCGTGGACTTGAGCTGCAACAGATTTCCACAACAATTTTCCATGTTGCTACCAACCTTATTATAACGCCAAAATGAAACATTTGTTCACAAAAATATTGTTCTCACATATTAGTGTTATTTAACACTGTAAATTAAAGGAATGAGTGGCTTTGGGTGGATTTTTCCTTTAAGTTGTTTGGCAAATGCATGTGTTTTAGAAACCTTAGAACCTGCTCTTTCCGATAGGTTATAAACTCAAAAAGTTTTGCATGCGTGAAGGATTATTTGAAAAAGTTGCTTTTTGGTAAACTGAAGCTCCGTTCCCTTCTTTGTCAATTACCCACACTGCGCTGCAGTCTCTTAATTCACAAGGCAGTTGATAATATTGTCACCCATCAGACTATTGTAAATTTAATTTGGTATTTAGGCTACATCTATTATTATAGGCCTATGTGGGAAATTAGTTTTGATATAGTTTAGGTCAGGGGTCACCAACCTCAAGATCACTTTGAGTCAAAATGCAAGCTGAGCTCTACCGCTCAGATTTCCTTTTAACGTGACTTAAAACATTTAAGTCTATGCAACATTAACCTATTAAAAACAGTACGGTGCAACATTAACCTATTAAAAACAGTACTGTAGCAATGAGGCTATAGGTCCAATACATTATCACAGCATATTGGCTTTGCTTGAATTGCCCTGCCAATGCATTGTTGTTCGGACTATAAAAAAACAAACATATATATTAAAAAATGTGAGTTAGGCAATATGATCACAGCGGTATTAGATCAGTCGTTGTATTTACTTGTGAGGCACAGCTGAGTGAGCATACATTTAAATCATTTGCTTCTTATTTTTTATTTTACTGGACTGATGGTGCCTGCATCTGATGGTCAGTCTCAGCGGAGGGAGAGAGCGAGCAGCAGACTGAGGGTCCGCCTCTCAACGTCCCGCCGCTGACACTGACCAAAAAGGGACACCGTCTTCCAGCTGATGGCGAAACTCGCGTACCGCATTATTGCCTCATGCACAAATTCATGTTGTTACTCCAATGAACAGAGAAAGTGAAATATTCCTGGATATTAAAAAAGACTAATAACGCAAGCCTATCGATACACTTTCCTACTCATTCGTTACAGCTGCAGTGCTGGTTGTAGCGCGAGTGGAAGTAGGAAGAATATGCAATTTGTGGCTTAGAAAAGTGTTGAATTAAAAGAGTTGACAGTGCCGAGTAAGAACTTAAACATGAACTCACTCCTATAAACAGCAGCTCTTTGCTGTATTCGTTGACAGTCTCTCTCTAGTCATGGTTTTAACATTTTTAAATCTCACAGTATCAATTTTACTGTAGCTTTTTTTTACGCCTGCTACATTACTGCAGACACGGTAATCTGAGCCATCCGATTGGCCAGTGGTAGGCCTATAGTGCACTTGATTTGCTCTCCGGGCCCGCCTGGAAGGCAGAGTTTGTAACTTCAGACACATATTTCAAAATGCAAACTCTTCGCCTACCCGGCACTCAGGGCAGCTTAATCAGGTTCATCTAACGCCAACAATGACGAATAAATAAGAACGCAAGGCTTTATCATTGGGTTTTTTTCAGAAATGCTTAGCGATCGACTAAGAATGCCTCACCGGTTGGTGACCACTGGTTTAGGCGTGGTTTCTATGAGCCATTGTCAGATGGCAGCCAACTGGTGAAGGAAGGGCAAGGGGGAAAAATGACGTCCTCCTAAAACTGCTTATAACACAAACTTTGTTCGTGATATAAAAATTCTAACAACGACAGTGTTTTGAATAGACTTATTTAGGAAAAGTCAAGGATGTGGGGGGGGGGACATGACTTTGAAAATGGCAGAATAATGTTATTCATATGACCTCAAAATGATGCTCTGAGTTTTTAGTTGTCTATGATCTTTCAAATACCCATGTGGTGTCGTATGCTCCTGATAACCAATGAGTAGATGGGAGAGGCGGGACTTGCAGTACATCAAGTGTCTCAAATAGAACCAAGTTCTATTTTATCATTTGGCTACGCAGATGCTCGTTCAGGCCTGTGAGCGGTGTGGGTGAAATGGTTGAATAACATGTATGTGTACATTTATTTTGCAACGCTTGCGCACGGAATGTGGCCGCTGTGGTTTGCGTGTAAGGAAATCATTTGGGAGTAACTCCTGACTGGTATCTGAAAAGTTTTATAATGTTCTGATTGTATTAATCAGTTTTATCATGTAGCCTATTGAATATTCAGTAGTTTTCCACATTTGAAGAACACTTGCAGGTTTGGGGTCAGTTCCATTTAAATTCTGTCAATTCAGGAAGTAAACTTGCTTTTCAAATGGGGAACATTTGAATTTCAGTTTACTTCCCGAATTAACTGAATTGAAATGGAATTGACCCCAACCCGGGAACATTGATCTCTGGACATGCTATCGGGTTGTCTTTATGTCCGTATATTAATGCATATTAAAAAGCCTAATCATTATCCGTCAGAAATGAGGCCCTCCCTTAGCTGAGAGAGACATCTGTGCTAATAGGCTATTGGTTTGTTCGACATTCCATTATGCCTAATTACTGAGTATTCAATAGGCTACATGATAAAACCGATTAATAAAATCTGAACATTATAACACTTTTCAGGATCCACAGAGGTGCACATTAATGTTCTAGCCCAGCACAAGAACACCAGATGCAACTAATTGGGTCTGTTAGTATACGACTAGATCAAAAATATTCATCCCCTTGGGTCCACAGGACTAGGATTGTAGAACGGGTAACCTCATACTTTCTAATACTACTAAAAACCGTTGCTTGGTGTGACTATGACCACAATGACTCCGTGCCCTTTCACAGCCTCGACATGGACAAGAACGACCTGGTACAGAAGGCTAAGCTGGCCGAGCAGGCCGAGCGCTACGACGACATGGCGGCGGCGATGAAGGCGGTGACGGAGCAGGGCGGCGAGCTCTCCAACGAGGAGCGCAACCTGCTGTCGGTGGCCTACAAGAATGTGGTGGGGGCGCGTCGCTCCTCCTGGCGCGTCATCTCCAGCATCGAGCAGAAGACCGAGGGCAACGAGAAGAAGCAGCAGATGGCCCGTGAATACCGGGAGAAGATTGAGGCCGAGCTGCAGGACATCTGCAAGGATGTGCTGGTGAGAGAGAGAGCGAGAGCTTGCTAGTCTATGGGCCCCCATCGCTTTTAAAGGAGTCCCTTGATGCTATGGGGACAGGTGATATAATGTGACACGGGCTGGAGTTCTATTCATTTAGAGTCCAGGCAATTAGGGAATGTTTTTGGAAGTGGAAATTGTAAATGGGAAAATGCCCTATTTACACAACAGGCATTTTTCCTTTAGCGTGAATGTGAGCTGGAATTAATTTGACCCCAAAGCAAGGTTGCAGAGCATCATCTATTTTTGGTTCATCTTTTGTTTGGTCCTGTGTGTTGAAAGGGTGGAGTTGACTGACACCCAATCTACCCCTTTTCTTGGTTTTAGGCACTCCTCGACAATTATCTCATTGCCAATGCGACTCAGGCAGAAAGCAAGGTGTTCTACCTTAAAATGAAAGGTGACTACTACAGATATCTGTCTGAGGTGGCATCTGGAGACTCAAAGAAGAGTAAGTAGATCTCTGTCCTATGAAGAAGCTTCTGAGTCACATTGTGTTGCCAAGAACCCATCATTGTTAATCGGCCGCTTTTCCTCAGCCTCTGATTATCATGGAAATAAGCAAAACCTCAATTTTTATAATCTGCTGCTTGCACTGCTTTTTAAGACTTAAGTGGTATCATCAGTGGCCTGATTTGATGTCCACATAGTACATAATATCTAGACAATGTTCAATCAGTATCCATTATACAGGAGATGCGCTGTGAAATGAAACATGAATTCTCTTCAACAAAAGCATGATGAGTGAATACCGTTAATTCATTGGGCCTCTTCTCTCCCCATCACAGCCACAGTGGAGAACTCCCAGCAGGCCTACCAGGAGGCATTTGACATCAGCAAGAAGGACATGCAGCCGACACACCCCATCAGGCTGGGCCTCGCTCTCAACTTTTCCGTCTTCTATTACGAGATCCTCAACTCCCCCGAGCAAGCCTGCAGTTTGGCGAAGGCGGTGGGGCAACTTTATACACACTCTCTCACGCACGTTCCACCATCACACTGCAGTGCCTGCGTGATACAGAAGGAGCCTTTTTTGGCCTCCGAATCAATACGAAGTGCAAACATGCCCCTCCTGCTCAGCTTTTTGACACAAACCTGCTTGTTAACACCGGTGCTCGTGCTGTTGGCATTTGCCAGATATTTAAATGAAAAATAGACGTTGTGATGGATGGTGCTTTGTCATCTGGAGTACCAAGTGTCAATTGGTATTCCCTTTTAGGGGTAATGCGTTTAAAAAGTGTTGTGGCATTTTAGGTTGTGGTTTTCTGGGTCTTATAAAACACGTTTTTTTTCTCCATATACCTGTTTTCCCTCTAGGCTTTTGACGAAGCGATCGCTGAGCTTGACACCTTGAACGAGGACTCTTACAAAGACAGCACCCTGATCATGCAGCTACTAAGGGACAACCTCACTGTAAGTGCTTACCGACAATACACGCCTTGCCAACGTAATGCCATTCAAATGCATTATCGTTCGATACACTTGGAACTAAATGCCTCGAGTGTATGAATCCAATGAATTCAATGTTTGGGTTTGTTTTTTCTCCCTCCTCTGCAGCTGTGGACATCAGAAAACCAGGGTGACGAGGGGGATGCCGGTGAAGGGGAGAACTAAAGGCGTTGCACATCACTGTTAATCCACCCACACTCTTCTCTCTTCTCTTACACATATACAGCCCGTACATCCCTGCTCCATCCAGCCCCCTCCCTTTCTGTATGACAAGCAGCATGAATTGTACCTGACCTACCAGTTGTGCCCTTTCTCAGATATACTCAGAGTCAACAGGGGTTACCTGTTGTTAACAAGCAGAGTATTGTTTTGTGAGGATAAAATAAAACTAAATTTACCCGGTTGAGTGGCAAGGCCATTCCCTCCTCCCCCTCTCCCTCCCTTTTGATTCCCTTCTAACATTTCATAAAGATATGTTCTTTCACCTAGCAAGATATGCATTTATAGTGTCCCTTTTTTGCTTTGCTAGTGTACTGGCGATTGCTGGTTTTTATTCAAAAAAGGTAATTAAACTGTCTGTTTATTTTCAACAAACACTGTGATGCTTAGTTTTTCTCCACATAATCACAAATAAATTCTGGTCGCTAAAATTCAGGACTGTATGGTTTGAGTAGCAGTGCAATTCTGCTGTGGCCTCATAGAGAATGGTATGAGGTTGTATTGTGACACTGACTAACATGCATATTGCTGTGTATTGTTCATTTTATTTTGGATCTGGAACTAAATGAATAAAAGGGACCCTAGGTTTTGCCATTCAATGTCTGTCCAGCTGAAAATAAAAAAATAACATTCCATTAAAACCTAACATTAAAGGTAGACTCAGTGAAATAACGTTGCCACGTGCAGCACTGCAGATATTGCGACGAGCGAGATTCAATACTTTGGTCTTACACAGTCACACGGTATCTGCGCATGCGCACAGGTTTGCTTCACGTTGTTAGAGCGTGGTAGGTACGGGACCAAAACAGATTAAAAGTTGAGCTCCTGCTTCAACACTCTTAGTTGTTGCGGAAATAGACCCACTTTGCTGTTTACTTTCTGCATCTACGTCATTTCGCTGAGTCTACCTTTAAAATGATATACCTTTTCTTAACAAACCGGAGCATTCTCCTAATGTTATGTACTAGAACAGTTGACATAAAGGTTTGACATTAGTACAATGATACTCGTTTGTTCTTAAATGTAACTTTTTTGCTTTGCGTAATAATGACTTACACTTTGGTTCAAAACTGTAAATTTTTAGAGGTAAATATAAATCTGTCTTCAATTTTGTTAACCTGCTTGCAAAGAAACACCTTAAAGCCGTTATGTTGAACTTTTACATCTTGGTTATTAAAGCCTATCTTGAAGGCCTTATGCTGACAGTCCAAACTGACCAGTCAAAAGTTGTTTCCTTTATGAAATGATATCTACGAGAATGCATGCTCTTGCCCACGAAGAGTGTGTAAGCAAGTCCCCTAATGTAAGTTGTGTATCAAAGTCCGAGATGGCATTGATGCCTTTGTTTTGTGTATCTCCAGACTTAAGGGTCTATCAGAGGAGACCATCTTGTAGTGGAATGCAGTCAGTGGATGGGTTAGATTCTGGAGCAGTGCAAGGACCTTGTAGAAGTAGCTGAATTCACTCAGTGTCACAATACCTTGTCATCACCATAACATTCCACTTAGGTGTTGAATTCATCTGTTTCAGTATGTCTTGCTGAAGACAATGTTTCATGCACTGAAGAAAAATCTCCCCCTTAGCTGAATAAATGGCAGTTATTCTACGCTTGATAAAAAAAAAATTCAGTAGTGAATGTGAAACCGAGCCTGTCTGTATATCTGGTATCTCCAATCGCTTTATTTTTACTGACCAGTATTCTGCCTAAAGTTTGCTTCTGTGATGGTTTATATTGCTTAGCGCGCACGTGGTTGTGAAAATGTAGAATAGCATTTAAAAAAACACAAATACACAAAAAAACAACCCTGGTTATTGACGTAATACTATATTTGTGTATGTCTTTTAAAACAGTTCTAGTTTCACCCTACATGTTATCAGGAAAGTGTAAAAGACAATTTAAAGTGAAATAAAAGTTTTATCAGTTCCAAATTGTCCTGTTTTGTTTTTGTAACTACTGGTTTGTCTGACAGTTGCTACCTAAAACACCAGTTGAAAACACTCCCACATAAATTTTTACTTAAAGTCTGATATGCGTTATTTAAGGTTAAATTAAAACAGGCTACCTAGAAATTGAAATTAAGAATCTGGGTTTGGTGGATGCCAGGAGGACACTACCTAACCGAATGCATTGTGCCAACTGTAAAGTTTGGTGGAGGAGGAATAATGGTCTGGGGCAGTTTTCCATGGTTCGGGCTAGGCCCCTTAGTTTCAGTGAAGGGAAATAATGCTATAGTATACAATGACATTCTAGACGATTCTGTACTTCCAACGTTGTGAAAAGTTTGGGGAAGGCCCTTTCCTGTTTCAGTATGACAATGCCCCCGTGCACAAAGCGAGGTCCAGACAGAAATGGTTTGTCAAGATCGGTGTGGAAGAACTTGACTGGCCTGCACAGAGCCCTGACCTCAACCCCATCGAACACCTTTGGAATTAATTGGAACGTCAACAGCGAGCCAGGCCTAATCGGCCAACATCAGTGCCTGACCTCAAATGCTTGTGTGCAAAGCTGTCATCAAGGTAAATGGTGGCTACTTTGAAGAATCTCAAATCTATTTTGATTTGTTTAACACTTTGTTGGTGACTACATTATTCCATACGTGTTATTTCAATAATAGAGCTCTTCACTATTATTCTACAATGTAGAAAATCATAAAAAAATTAAAGAAAAACCCTGGAATGAGTAGGTGTGTCCAAGCTTTTGACTGGTACTGTACTTTTGACCATGTAGGGTACGTGCATTTGGGAAATATTGCGGCCTCTTAATTGACAAATCACAATGCCATGATTACATGGTGTATAAAGACTTTATTATTTTGCACCATGAGGTAAGCATTCCAACATTTCACAGAATTGAAAAAAGTGCTGCCATCACCAATATACCCAGATGACATTGCTTAAATGTAAAACATCCAAAGACTAACTTGCGTCACCACTGCAATAGCATTGATAATCCAACAAAGATAAATTGAACAAAAACAGATGTTCAAACATTCCGTAATTGAAGCAACAACTGGACAATGGAAAACAACTAGTTTCAAAACTGGTATCACCCAATTCAGCCCCCATCAGGGAGGATGAGTCTCTGATTTGTCCCCCGTTTGTGTCCTGAATCAAAATCTGCCAAAAAATTACATCTAAAGATTATGCATTACTGATAGAATTGTCAACATGTTAGGTGATATAGGTGGTAATGATGTTTCAATATGCAGTTAAATCTGTTTCTCTGGTCTAGCGTTACTTTCCTCGACTCAATGAAAATGACAGTCCACTGTAGATATCCATACAATCTTAAAATAACTATGATCTTAAATGGATAGTTTACCTATAGAGGTATTATAAATCATATAAATAGGTGCTTATATTAGAACGTTCATGCTTCATGTCCAAATCATCCTAAAGTATCTAAATATTGATTGTGTAACTCAATTAAGTTACTTAAAATGATTTGGACATGAAGTGCGAGAATGCTAATATAGGTACCAGTGACTTGCATTAGATTAGGGCCTCAAATGCTAAAAAGTTAGCATTTCAAACAGTGGCCAGGTAAACAAAAGCAATGCATGGATTGCTGTCATACCTCGTCCATAGACAGCTTACAGAGTAAGTCTGTAAGTAAACCAATGTCATTTTGTAATTTGGATGAACTATCCCTTTAACTACAAGTCATTTTATTGATTTCTTATGCTAGTGGAAATACATACAACTGCATAGTCCTTGTGAAACAATGGTTGAATGCTATATTTTCAGTTTCATGCAGTGATTGCATGATGTATATGAAGGCTAAATATGCACTGCATTGACTGTGCTTCCTCTGTAGTCACAGCAATACTGCATCTTGAGTGGGTTTAAGTTAAACAGGCCAGGAAATAGATAGGAAAACCTGCTTCTGTGAGTGAATACAGGCACTTCAGGCATGTACCAGGTCAGCGTAGGGTCCTTTTACATCCACAGGCAACCATCCGAATCGCAAGCTCATTTCTTCTTTTGCACTTCAAGCAGTAAATTCTGTGCGGCTGTGTTCTTTGGCTCAACTTTCAGCAAGCTGTTTAGATCTTCAACGCAAGCTTTGTAGTCCTGGAGGGCAAAATGAACACGTCAAACAAAATGCAAAAACGACATACAATGTATACACACTTTCTTGTTCATCAGAAAGGCTCTCACTTTTAGCCCCTTGTGTGCCTGAGCTCGTCTGTACAGCGCCTTGATATTAGCAGAGTCGAGCCGCAGGGACTCGTCACAATCTCGCACTGCCTCCACGTACATCTTCACAGAGAGGTAGCAAAGTGCCCTATTTAGTACAAAAGGCATAAATTAGTCCCATATAGGAATTATGCACATCCCTTGTACGACAGGAGCTGGGCAATAACGTTTCACAGAACTACAGTGGGGAAAAAAAGTATTTAGTCAGCCACCAATTGTGCAAGTTCTCCCACTTAAAAAGATGAGAGAGGCCTGTAATTTTCATCATAGGTACACGTCAACTATGACAGACAAAATGAGAAAAAAAATCCAGAAAATCACATTGTAGGATTTTTAATGAATTTATTTGCAAATTATGGTGGAAAATAAGTATTTGGTCAATAACAAAAGTTTCTCAATACTTTGTTATATACACTTTGATGGCAATGACACAGGTCAAACGTTTTCTGTAAGTCTTCACAAGGTTCACACACTGTTGCTGGTATTTTGGCCCATTCCTCCATGCAGATCTCCTCTAGAGCAGTGATGTTTTGGGGCTGTCGCTGGGCAACACGGACTTTCAACTCCCTCCAAATATTTTCTATGGGGTTGAGATCTGGAGACTGGCTAGGCCACTCCAGGACCTTGAAATTCTTCTTACGAAGCCACTCCTTCGTTGCCCAGGCGGTGTGTTTGGGATCATTGTCATGCTGAAAGACCCAGCCACGTTTCATCTTCAATGCCCTTGCTGATGGAAGGAGGTTTTCACTCAAAATCTCACGATACATGGCCCCATTCATTCTTTCCTTTACACGGATCAGTCGTCCTGGTCCCTTTGCAGAAAAACAGCCCCAAAGCATGATGTTTCCACCCCCATGCTTCACAGTAGGTATGGTGTTCTTTGGATGCAACTCAGCATTCTTTGTCATCCAAACACGCGACGAGTTGAGTTTTTACCAAAAAGTTCTATTTTGGTTTCATCTGACCATATGACATTCTCCCAATCCTCTTCTGGATCATCCAAATGCACTCTAGCAAACTTCAGACGGGCCTGGACATGTACTGGCTTAAGCAGGGGGACACGTCTGGCACTGCAGGATTTGAGTCCCTGGCGGCGTAGTGTGTTACTGATGGTAGGCTTTGTTACTTTGGTCCCAGCTCTCTGCAGGTCATTCACTAGGTCCCCCCGTGTGGTTCTGGGATTTTTGCTCACCGTTCTTGTGATCATTTTGACCCCACGGGGTGAGAACTTGCGTGGAGCCCCAGATCGAGGGAGATTATCAGTGGTCTTGTATGTCTTCCATTTCCTAATAATTGCTCCCACAGTTGATTTCTTCAAACCAAGCTGCTTACCTATTGCAGATTCAGTCTTCCCAGCCTGGTGCAGGTCTACAATGTTGTTTCTGGTGTCCTTTGACAGCTCTTTGGTCTTGGCCATAGTGGAGTTTGGAGTGTGACTGTTTGAGGTTGTGGACAGGTGTCTTTTATACTGATAAAAAGTTCAAACAGGTGCCATTAATACAGGTAACGAGTGGAGGACAGAGGAGCCTCTTAAAGAAGAAGTTACAGGTCTGTGAGAGCCAGAAATCTTGCTTGTTTGTATGTGACCAAATACTTATTTTCCACCATAATTTGCAAATAAATTCATTAAAAATCCTACAATGTGATTTTCTGGAGAAAAAAAATCTCAATTTGTCTGTCATAGTTGACGTGTACCTATGATGAAATTACAGGCCTCTCTCATCTTTTTAAGTGGGAGAACTTGCACAATTGGTGGCTGACTAAATACTTTTTTCCCCCACTGTATATGACAATGCAGAGTTGGGAATACCACTCCCAAGGGTTTCCTGGCATTTGTCTACACACCAGATAGACATTATCAGCCTCACCTATTTGTATAGGTTGTGATTTCTGAGGAATTGTGTTTGAGGCTCTGAGTGTATTTCTCTATGGCTTTCTTGTACTCCGATTTTTTCACCAGCGCATTGCCTTCCTCTTTCAGGGATAGGGCTTTTTTAATGGAATCCTCTCCTGGGACTGAAATAAAAAAATGATACATCTTATTTCTGAACTACTTTGTAAACTTGTGTATTTACTGTACATCTGTTACATGTTGTACAAAGATGACAAACCAATAGTAATAGTCAAATTATTAACAGTATTTTGTGTTTCTATTCATATTTGAGAGACTGAATCATATGAAAGACCAACCAGATTTCTCTTTTTCTCTGGTGCCATTGTGTTGTGTTGCTGAAGACAATTTTTCTTTGATGGCCATTGGAACAGTGGGAATGGGTGGGAGCTTCTCTCGCCATGAGAGTCCATCCACCTCTGTCAGACACTTTGTCATTCTGGAAGAAAAGGGGGTTAACAAGGTTGTACATTCCACTATCTTGATTATGTCCCCTATACATGACAGAAGTTAAAGGACTTGAAAGGCTTTTTGTAAGTGAAAATGGATTTGTGCAACATGTTATACCTGTTGGTACCATCATGGGCTGCAGGTATGTTACAGTCTATCTGTAAGACCGTCTTGTAGTCCACATAGGCTAATCTGTATCTCTCCAATGCTTCATACGCTGCAGCCCGGCGAAGGAGAGGCTTGATACCAAACGGAACCAGGTCAAGAGATCTAGAAAATAAAACATTTTTAGGTAGGCGTGTTGCTGCAGTAGTATGGACAAAGAAAGCCGGAGAACCTCTGCAACAGACAAAGTAATGTGCTACTAGAGTACATTGGAAAAAGATCATGTTGATATGTTTTAGGTAAGAGTGTTACTGCGGCAGTATGAACCAACTGTAGGGCAAAAGAAATAGGCCTGCATTGTCTACCACAAAACATAATGTCCACAATGTAGGCTACTTACACTGTACAGTCCTTCACACACTCCCCACAATTTCCATCCTTCAGATAACTGGCTGCACGGTTAGAATACAGGATACTAAGATCCTCTGGATTTTTCTTTCCTGTAAATGAATTTACAGTGGTAACAATGTATTAGAACATGGAAAGCTTGTGCTGGTTTAGAAAACGTCAATGACGCACATTATAAAACACATGTATAGGGTGTTAGGTGACGCGACAAACAATGGACGCTATGTGAAAATTCAAAACAATTATAACTATTTTCACTAAATGTCAATGTGGTCGTCAAAATACAAAATAAATCATTTGAAAACGTTAACGTGGCAGTTGTTACCCATGTCTAAAAATCCCAATACTGTACGTTGTCATATTTACGCGATATGAGCACAAATGTAAAGTAAGTGCCATGCTAAGAACGTTAACATCTGTGGGACAGCCCTTTTTGTGAAACCCGCGAATTCTGTGTATTTATATTTGCTCTTTGCAATGGGTATTCCTCAATCTATCAGAGTAAAATCGATATGACATTGTATTGCCAAGAAGTATGGGAAGGCCCTGACGGTGTTTCGCAGTCATCAGATGTCTTTTGACTGAAATATAAAGTAAAACGTTTTTCCTTTGCTTCTGTCATTCAGATGTTTTCAGAGATACAAAACAAACATAGGTTACAAAGTACAGCTTCGTAGATATGCGTTGATGTATAGGTCATCAAGGATTGGTCCAAATTCACGTGTCGCCACCCACATTTCAATGATGAGCGCTCGCTTGCTAGATGTGGGAGTGCCTGACGCCGTTCGCTGAGGCAACGAGCTGGGTGAACGGCAGCACTGCTTGGCATTGACTATAGTGCCAGCTGCGAATTTTGTGATTGATGGTTTTATTAGTTCAAGTAAAAACTACCAGAAGTCAGTGGCTACATAGCTAAATAGCAGGATATAAAATTCACGTTGGGAAAAAATTAAATAATGTCAATAGGAAAAATACTAACTAATGCTCTACAACAATCCTTTAAGTAGACCACAAAAGATATCAAGTACTTAGGATGCTTATTAGTGACAACAAACACACACTGAGTGTACAAAACATTAGAAACACCTGCTCTTTCCATGACAGACCAGGTGAATCCGGATGAAAGCTATGATCCCTTATTGATGTCACTTGTTAAATCCACTTCAAATCAGTGTAGATGAAGGGGAGGAGACAGATTAAAGAAGGATTTTCAAGCCTTGAGACATGGATTAGGTATGTGTGCCATTCAGAGGGTGAATGGGCAAGAGAAAATATTTAAGTGTCTTTGACGGGGTATGGTAGTAGGTTCCAGGCACACCGGTTTGAGTGTGTCAAGAACTGCAACACTGCTGGGTTTTTCACGCTCAACAGTTTCCCGTGTGTATCAAGAATGGTCCACCACCCAAAGGACATCCAGCCAACTTGACACAACTGTGGGAAGGCATTGGAGTGAACATGGGCCAGCATCCCTGTGTCATGCTTTTGACACCTTGTAGAGTGCATGCCCCGACGACTTGAGGCTGTTCTGGGGGGATGCAACTCAATATTAGGAAGGTGTTCCTAATGTTTTGTACACTCAGTGTGTATAGATAACTTTTTCCCATTACTCAACAATATGAAAGTAGATCTAATTAAATGGAACAATCTTCCCATAAATCTTACAGGTAGAATAAACCTCTTCAGAATGGCATGGCTCCCAAAGTTTTATATTAATTCTCGGTAATACCAAGATATTATTTTTAAAAGTATACTCTGGTCATAACAGACTTTATATGGGCAAATAAAACTCAGAATAAAAAGGAAAGTGTAACATTTTCCTAAGTCTGAGGGTGGTTTTTACCTTCCAGACTTGGAATTGTATCAACTCGCGTCAGTGACGGAGAAACAAAATGGTGCAGTTTGAGGCCATGTGGAGGAGAGTGATGCGGACAATGGAGATGGGGGTGTGAGCAGGTGGGTCTGGGTAGGTGTGAGGTCGTTGATGTTTGTGTGTGTATGTTTTGTATTGTTTGAATTTTTTATTTTTTTTTTCAAACAATAATATACTCAATGGTGCAGCTGTATAACTTTTTGAGGATCTGAGGGCCCATGCCAAATCTTTTCAGCCTCCTGATGGGAAAGAGGCGGTCGTGTCCTCTTCATGACAGTTGTGTGTGTGGACCATGATAGATCCTTAGTGATTTGCATATTACGTACCTAATTTGCATAATAGCCAAAGTGAGTAAGACATTTAAGCATGTTAACCCCCGCAAGGCTGCCGGCCCAGACGGCATCCCTAGCCGCGTCCTCAGAGCATGCGCAGACCAGCTGGCTGGTGTGTTTACGGACATATTCAATCTCTCCCTATCCCAGTCTGCTCTCCCCACATGCTTCAAGATGGCCACCATTGTTCCTATACCCAAGAAAGCAAAGGTAACTGAACTAAATGACTATCGCCCCGTAGCACTCACCTCTGTCATCATGAAGTGCTTTGAGAGACTAGTCAAGAATCATATCGCCTCTACCTTACCTGTCACCCTAGACCCACTTCAATTTGCTTACCGCCCCAATAGGTCCACAGACGATGCAATTGCCATCACACTGCCCTATCCCATCTGGACAAGAGGAATACCTATGTAAGAATGCTGTTCATTGACTACAGCTCAGCATTCAACACCATAGTACCCTCCAAGCTCATCAATAAGCTTGAGGCCCTGGGTCTGAACCCCGCCCTGTGCAACTGGGTCCTGGACTTCCTGACGGGCCGCCCCCAGGTGGTGAAGGTAGGAAACAACATCTCCACTTCGCTGATCCTCAACACTGGGGCCCCACAAGGGTGCATGCCTCCAACTCAATCATCAAGTTTGAAGACGACACAACAGTAATAGGCTTGATTACCAACAATGACGAGACAGCCTACAGGGAGGAAGTGAGGGCTCTGGGAGTGTGGTGCCAGGAAAATAACCTCTCACTCAACGTCAACAAAACAAAGGAGATGATCGTGGACTTCAGGAAACAGCAGAGAGTGCACCCCCCATCCACATCAACAGTTCCTTGGCGTACACATCACTAACAAACTTAAATGGTCCACCCACGCAGACAGTGTGGTGAAGAAGGCGCAACAGAGCCTCTTCAACCACAGGAGGCTGAAGAAATGTGGCTTGGCACCTAAAACCCTCACAAACCTTTACAGATGCACAATTGAGAGCATCCTGTCGGGCTGTATCACCGCCTGGTACGGCAACTGCACCGCCCGCAACCGCAGGGCTCTACAGAGGGTGGTGCGGTCTGCCGAACACATTACCGGGGGCAAACTACCCGCCCTTCAGGAAACCTACAGCACCCGATGTCACAGGAAGGCCAAAAAGATCATCAAGGACATCAGCCACTCGAGCCACTGCCTGTTCACCCCGCTATCATCCAGAAGGTGAGGTCAGTACAGGTGCATCAAAGCTGGGACTGAGAGAATGAAAAACAGCTTCTATCTCAAGACCATCAGACTGTTAAATAGCCATCACTAGCACACTAGAGGCTGCTGCTGCCTATTGAAATCACTGGTCACTTTAAGAAATGGAACACTAGTCACTTTAATAATGTTTACATATCTTGCATTACTCATCTCATACGTATATACTGTATTCTATACTTTTCTACTGTATCTTAGTCCATGCCGCTCTGTCATTGCTTGTCCATAAATGTATATATTCTTAAATTCCATTCCTTACTTAGATTTGTGTTTATTGGGTATATGTTGTGAAATTGTTAGATATTACTTGTTAGATATTACTGCACTGTCGGAGCTAGAAGCACAAGCATTTCGCTACACCCGCAATAACATCTGCTAAACACGTGTATGTGACAAATAAAATTTGATTTGATTTAATATAACATTTAAATGTAATACATTTGACTTTCATCTGAATCATCTGTGTTCTACATCAGCCCATAAAATGTCATAACAATATGACCAGCCTATCTTGAGATATTGGACAAAATGTGTTTTATTTAAGAATCCAGGTATTTTGGTGCCATTATTGACTAGGGATTAACTTTGACCTGTCTGCTGCCTTTTTGACCTTTTCCGGTAATTTGAAAACAAGATTTCAGCAATAGTAAATCCTATCCTCATGAAAAAAAGATATGTGTTCCTGAGACGCTTCTCTATAGCATGGAATACAAAGTAGAACACCAGAACCAAAGTTTAATTTTGTCCCCTACCATGTAGCTCGGTCACAGAAAACACTACTAGAACATTGAGCCATTGTTTGACTGATTTGTTAACTAGCTGCCTACCTGACAACTCCACTTCTTTGATAGCCTGGCTGTAAATAAAAGCAGCCTCCCCATACTGTCCCGTTTTAAAGCATTCGTTGCCTGCTTGTTTCAACTCCGTCCAAGACTGGGAACGACGCTTCTGTGGCATCTTTGTTTTACCTGTAACACATGACAAGACACATTTGCAAGATAAATGTTAGCTAGCGAGATAGTTGGCTAACGTTAGCTTTACGTTTTATTAGCTAGCAAGTTCACTTTTACAGAAAACAAAACGTATTGTTCATAGCTACTAAATTTAGCCAGCCAACTAGCTTCTACATACTTCCCTTGAATAATCTGGCTAGCATAATTTTAGCTCATTCCTTAAAAGTACAGTAGCGCTTGCTAGCCACCGGCACTAGTGTATCCAGTTAGGTAACGTTAGTTAGCTAGCTAGTTCTCAATTTACCGTGACCGAATTAATGTTGATAGCTGGGCGAGCTGGTTGTGTAGCTATCTAGCTAGCTATAATCTACTGTACTCGTCCGCAAATCGTCTAACTAATAACGTTAGCTAGTAAACCCCAGATCTTAAACAAGCTAGCTACAGAGGTGTAAAATGTGTCTCTCTTACTAGCTAACCACGAGCAACTGTCAGTGGGTTTTCAGAATCACTTTCACTTCTGTTCTTGACCGCTGTGAAGCAGGCAAGAATAACTAAATACTTCCGGGTCACGGATTTGTGGAATCCTTCAGAGTAAAAGTTCCGTAAATGAATTATTACAGCGAAAATAAAAATGTGCACAATTATCAATATATTTTATACTAATTATCATACAAAGAATAATGAAGAGTAATATATTATGTCATTTATTTGTTTATGCATAATTTGTTCAACCCTAAATGGTCAACAATGTTTTTGTGTGTGTACTTCTATCATTTATTGACCATACAAAATTATCAGTATGTTGCGTTGCAGTAAAAGGGGGATCCATTCTACTCAGGAGCACATCTAGTGTCCAAATCCACAGAGTTTACACCCAGAGGAGTGTCGCTGCTCATTTGGCAGCCCTTATAGAGTGGCCCATCAACTTAAATCCAATAGTTATTTCATATTGGACATACATATTGTACCGTACAAAATTATCTGTACGTTGTGTCGCAGTAAATGGGGGGTCCATTCTACTCAGGAGCACTTCTAATTTCCAAATCCACAGAGTTTACACCCCCAGTAGTGTCACTGCTCATTTTGAGGCCATATTTCATATCGGGCATACATTTTGCACCATACACAATTTTCTGTACATTGTGTTGCAGTAAAAGGGGGACCTTGTACACAGAGTTTACAAGGTCGTCACATCTATTGTTGTTTGTGGCCCTTATGGAGTGGGAAATCAGCATACATCCAGATATTTGCATATTAGAAAGCTAGGTTTTATTTACACAAATACATGTGCCACAATGGAGCACTTTGGAAGTTTAAAATACAACTGAATTGCAGTGCGGCTTACATAAGATATATAAGAAAATGAACATGATTAAACGATAAACATAATTATTAAAACATTTCACTTTGAACAACTACCCCATCTAGTGTCCTTTTAAAAGCCTGACTAATGATGGAAAAGGTCATTTTTTGTAGCGTTCAGTTTTACAATGAACATACCAGAGGAGGCTGGTGGCAGGAGCTCATTTTAATGGCTGGAATGTAATCAGTGGAACGGGGTCAAACACGTTGTTTCGATATGTTTGGTGTGCAACTCCCCTCCAAGTCTCCGACCACTACTTTGTATCCTTTTCTCTCTCCCTCTCCTCCAACACTACTCACTCTGCCCCTACACAGATGGTAATGCGCCGTCGCAACCTTCGCTCTCTCTCTCCCGCTACTCTCTCCTCTTCCATCCTATCATCTCTTCCCTCTGCTCAATCCTTCTCCCTCCAATCTCCTGATTCTGCCTCCTCAACCCTCCTCTCCTCCCTTTCTGCATCCTTTGACTCTCTATGTCCCCTATCCTCCCGGCCGGCTCGGTCCTCCCCTCCAGCTCCGTGGCTTGATGACTCATTGCGAGCTCACAAAACAGGGCTCCGGGCAGCTGAGCGGAAATGGAAGAAAACTAGACTCCCTGCGGACCTGGCATCTTTTCACTCCCTCCTCTCTACATTTTCTTCATCTGTTTCTGCTGCTAAGGCCACTTTCTACCACTCTAAATTCCAAGCATCTGCCTCTAACCCTAGGAAGCTCTTTGCCACATTCTCCTCCCTGCTGAATCCCCCCCCCCCCTCCTCCCTCTCTGTGGATGACTTCGTCAACCATTTTGAAAAGAAGGTTGACGACATCCGATCCTCGTTTGTTAAGTCAAATGACACTGCTGGTCCTGCTCACACTGCCCTACCCTATGCTTTGACTTCTTTCTCCCCTCTCTCTCCAGATAAAATCTTGCGACTTGTGACGGCAGGCCGCCCAACAACCTGCCCGCTTGACCCTATCCCCTCCTCTCTTCTCCAGACCATCTCCGGTGACCTTCTCCCTTACCTCACCTCGCTGATCAACTCATCCTTGACCGCTGGCTATGTCCCTTCCATCTTCAAGAGAGCGAGAGTTGCACCCCTTCTCAAAAAACCAACACTCGATCCCTCTGATGTCAACAACTACAGACCAGTATCCCTTCTTTCTTTTCTCTCCAAAACTATTGAGCGTGCCGTCTTTAGCCAACTCTTTTGCTATCTCTCTCAGAATGACCTTCTTGATCCAAACCAGTCAGGTTTCAAGACTGGTCATTCAACTGAGACTGCTCTTCTCTGTGTCACGGAGGCTCTCCGCACTGCTAAAGCTAACTCTCTCTCATCTGCTCTTGTCCTTCTAGACCTGTCTGCTGCCTTTAATACTGTGAACCATCAGATCCTCCTCTCCACCCTCTCCGAGCTGGGCATCTCCGGCGCGGCTCACTCTTGGATTGCGTCCTACCTGACCGGTCGCTCCTACCAAGTGGCGTGGCGAGAAGCTGTCTCCGCACCACGTGCTCTCACCACTGGTGTCCCCCAGGGCTCAGTTCTAGGCCCTCTCCTATTCTCGCTATACACCAAGTCACTTGGCTCTGTCATATCCTCACATGGCCTCTCCTATCATTGCTACGCTGACGACACACAACTAATCGTCTCCTTTCCCCCTTCTGATAACCAGGTGGCGAATCGCATCTCTGCATGTCTGGCAGATATATCAGTATGGATGACGGATCACCACCTCAAGCTGAACCTTGGCAAGACGGAGCTGCTCTTCCTCCCGGGGAAGGACTGCCTGTTCCATGATCTCGCCATCACGGTTGACAACTCCGTTGTGTCCTCCTCCCAGAGTGCGAAGAGCCTTGGCGTGACCCTGGACAACACCCTGTCGTTCTCCGCTAACATCAAGGCGGTGACCCGATCCTGTAGGTTCATGCTCTACAACATTCGGAGAGTACGACCCTGCCTTACACAGGAAGCGGCACAGGTCCTAATCCAGGCACTTGTCATCTCCCGTCTGGATTACTGCAACTCACTGTTGGCTGGGCACCCTGCCTGTGCCATTAAACCCCTACAACTCATCCAGAATGCCGCAGCCCGTCTGGTGTTCAACCTTCCCAAGTTCTCTCACGTCACCCCACTCCTCCGCACACTCCACTGGCTTCCAGTTGAAGCTCGCATCTGCTACAAGACCATGGTGCTTGCCTACGGAGCTGTGAGGGGAACGGCACCTCCGTACCTTCAGGCTCTGATCAGTCCCTACACCCAAACGAGGGCATTGCGTTCATCCACCTCTGGCCTGCTGGCTCCCCTACCTCTGCGGAAGCATAGTTCCCGCTCAGCCCAGTCAAAACTATTCGCTGCTCTGGCACCCCAATGGTGGAACAAGCTCCCTCACGACGCCAGGACAGCGGAGTCACTCACCACCTTCCGGAGACATTTGAAACCCCACCTCTTTAAGGAATACCTGGGATAGGATAAAGTAATCCTTCTACCCCCCCCCCCCCCCCCCCCCCCCCCCCCCCAAAAAAAATAATAATAATAAAATAAATACATTGTAAAGTGGTTATCCCACTGGCTATAAGGTGAATGCACCTATTTGTAAGTCGCTCTGGATAAGAGCGTCTGCTAAATGACGTAAATGTAAATGTAATGTAAATGTGTGTTTGGTACCATTCCATTGATTTCATTCCAGCCATTACAATGAGCCTGTCCTCCTATAGCTTCTCCGACCAGCCTCCTCTGGAACATATGTTGTGGAAATACTTCTCAAAGATATCTCTCAGACACTGAAGCTTGTGAGTTCAGAATAGACTTTATAACAAAGTAACAAGCCGAGCTGGTCCGCGGAGCAACTGCCAGTCCCAGGCTCGGAGCTCTCTTTTTATACAGCTTCTCATATCGTATAGGAACCCCCTCTTTATCCAAATAGCCACCCTCCCTTGACCTTGAGCCACTATGGTTTCTTTATCTAGCCTCTTTCCTGTCTATGTCTGCTTGGTTTCCCCTCCACTTGCCTAACTCTATTGGTGGCATGATAAAGACAGTTCCTTTAAAAAATAATATACATATACACTTGATGATAATTATATAGTACATTGATTACTGCAGTCACAATGTGGTTGTCCAGTCATGCATCTGGATTTCAAAATATGTTTCATAACATGTTTCATACATCATATGTTTCAAAATATGTCTCATACATCATAGAAGGGTATAGTCACTAATCCTCTTTTAAACCCATAATGATTCTGCTTATTGTTAAATGATTTTATAATATATGTAACGGAAATATAACTATATATTCCCCCCTTTGGGACTTTCTAAGTCCCAATCTTCATTACCTAATAAATAATAATTCCAAATAAAACAGATAATAGACATAATAAGTGTTTAACCATTAGTATAAGAATGGATGTACAGTTGAAGTCGGAAGTTTACATACACCTTAGCCAAATACATTTAATCTCAGTTTTTCACAATTCCTGACATTTAATCCTAGTAAACATTCCCTGTTTTAGGTCAGTTAGGATCACCACTTTATTTTAAGAATGTGAAATGTCAGAATAATAGTAGGGAGAATGATTTATTTCAGCTTTTATTTATTTCATCACATTCCCAGTGGGTCAGAAGTTTACATACACTCAAATAGCATTTGGTAGCATTGCCTTTAAATTGTTTAACTTGGGTAAAACATTTCGGGTAGCCTTCCACAAGCTTCCCACAATAAATTGGGTGAATTTTGGCCCATTCCTCCTGACAGAGCTGGTGTAACTGGTCAGGTTTGTAGGCCTCCTTGCTCACACACGCTTTTTCTGTTCTGCCTACAAGTTCCAATAGGATTGAGGTCAGCACTCGCTCCCAAACATAACACAGACTCCACCTTTTTCTGCTATGAGCCTGCCTATTCCTCCAGGTCATCCTACTTGTTGCCTGTACTTGTTCTCCCAGAGCTGTCAATGCTGAGTCAGTATAATCTATGAACCTTTGCTGATTGTAATATACAGTGGGGGGGGAAAGTATTTAGTCAGCCACCAATTGTGCAAGTTCTCCCACTTAAAAATATGAGAGAGGCCTGTAATTTTCATCATAGGTACACGTCAACTATGACAGACAAAATTAATGAATTTATTTGCAAATAATGGTGGAAAATAAGTATTTGGTCACTTACAAACAAGCAAGATTTCTGGCTCTCACAG